AAACTACCAGCTGTTTGTTCTGCAGGAGAAAGATGAGGCTTTCTGATCCCATAAAGATTTCCAGCCTCAGAAACCCTGTACAGGGTCGCTATGAATGGGAACAGACTCCATGGCACATAATGACAACAGCAACGTATATGTTTATAGTATATATATAATCTTAATTGGAAGGACCTACCCTCTTACTCTCTTATTTCTACCAATTCTTTGCTTTTATTGAGGTATTTCTGGGTGCTTTCAATGTTGACATAGCACAAACTGAGATCCACCAACTCCATGAGTGGACTCCAAAGAACAATACCATACAAGGACAGTGACTGAGACACCATATTAACTTCTCAACGTCTGTGATAGACATGTGCCTAGAAGTTTTTCATCCCAACCTCAAATAGTCACCACTTGGTTCATGTCATATTGTCCTGTTGACTGCTTTGTTTACCCATCAGGGTCTACAGTTTGGTACCAGAGAACTGGAGGAGATGGGAGCCATGTTCTGCTTGGGCCTTCTCATCTTGGAACTTAAATCTGTTAGCTGTAGTCACCAGCTCCTGAACTATGCAGCAACTCTGCTGAATTCAGATGAATATGCTCTGGACCACCACCTCCAGAGGTAAGATGGGAGAGAGGGGGAAGGTGGTCTTCTGTGCTCTCACTGGAGAAAATCTCAGGAATGAAAGTCAAGTGGAGCTAGAAATCTTTGACAAAGAGAGAAACCCTGAGATGTTGCCAGAGGAAGGTAAATGCAGTAGTTCTTTGTTAGTGTAACAGACTTGGTTCCATTTGAAAACAGCAAGAATGTCTTGTACACATGTATGAAAAAATAGAGCTACATCTGTCTTTAAACGTGTATTGTTAACCAATTCTATCTAGACACCTGAGGATGAGGAATGCTGTCGTCTTCCCACTCTTAGACTTTTTCTTAGAAGATGAGGGGAACATTTGATATTTTTACTTCTCCCTTGAAGATGTTTATCACATTTGCTCAAAGAATCGGACTTCACAACCATGGTAGATTAAGGGTGGGTCGCTGATGAGGATGGTTAAAGAATCAAGAAAGAACCATCATGTGAATGAGGCCCTTTTGATGTCCCATACAGTAGTTAAGGAGTCCTGGTGTGGCACTGCAACGTAATGTGCTGGACTGCCAAGTTGGTTCAAACAGCAAGGTCAGCAGTTCAAACTCACCAACTGCTCCTCAGAAACCCTACACAGGGTTGTCATAAGTTGGAACTGACTCTATGGCACGTAACAGCAACAAACAGTAGATAAATATATATTTTTTAGTACACTAAAATCAATTCCAACAACAAGAAGGAAAGAGATTTTGGCCATATGAGAAGACAAAGGACCATGGGGAGGTAAAGACCAACTCTTTTCAAAATGTGAAGCAAATTGATTGGGAGAACAGAGTTGTTGAGGAAAGAGGTGACTGCTGGTAAAAGAGGAAACATCTCATCATGCAGTTCACGTCCAAAGGCAGAGAGAAAGTCATTAATGCGGATTGCATCTGATTTCTAGCACATTTTCATTAATTTTCCTCCTGCCACTGGAAGGCTGTTGTTTCAGTATGACTTCTCACCAAATGGCCAGTCAAGCCTAGAAAGATCTAGTGGTTTAAATGACTACTGCTCTGAAAGACACTGGTTTCACTAAGACTTAATTACCTAAATGCAGTAATTAACTTGCTCATCACTTTGGGCTGTAGATCATAGTCTATAGAGACCTAAGTAAATTCAGACTGCTCCCTCCCTAGACTTGTTAGCACGTATTTCTTTTGTTTTGACATCATGACCACTTCTGTTTGCCCCTGTTCCCGTCACACACCCCTCTGCACTTGAAGCTTTGGTGTGTTTGGCATCTTTGTGGTATATCTGCCTTTTCCTCTGACAGCAAGGTCTCCTACCTGCCAGAGTATATATTTCAACTTGTCTTTTCATCTTTTCCTCTTCTAAGCTATCTTTGGAGCAACATACCTGAGGTTTTTGTTTTGTTTTGTTTTCTATTTCCCCTGCCCTCTCTCTGCTGCTGCTCATTGAGGAAAGATTGAGCAGACTTGGCAATGCTTACTTTCTCAGAATTGATTGTGCCCATCTATTTGATCCAATGCAGTGAGAATTAGTTGCCGGTAAACTGGAACAAGAAGAAATCTATCAAATAAATGTCTTTTCTAATTCAAGTCTAAAGAGTTCTGGGTCAGACTGCAAATACGATGGCTTCTATGTGTGTTATCATAAGAAGATCCTATTACCTGACCTTCACCTGGCCCACATAGATGAATATTAGGGTATCAGTTGCAAATAGCCCATGGACACTGAAGCATCAGCTCAAATCTTTCCAGATCTCTGCCCCTTCCTATACAGATGTAGCTCCTTAAGGGCAAGATACCTGCATATAGAATGTGATGAATATTGTTCTGTGAATAGATTGGTATTAAATGTGGGGGCCTGGAGTCAACAAAGGACAGTAAGAGAAAGACTGTCATTTCACACAGTCATTTGTACCATAACATGTTGTTCCTATTCATTATGAGGCACTTAACCAAACCAGACTGCAATTCCTGCCCATAGCTCTGTTATAATCAGATTTTAGGAACTACAGGGATAAGTGGCAAGTCACTCTAATGATATCTTGATCCTAAAATATTCTGGTCAGTTACTTCACACTCATGAAAACAAGGCCAAGGGAAAATTAATAAAATGAAATCCAATAATTGGAAACCAGCAATGAACCACTTAAGTACCAGTTGGTTAGTTTCTGATGAATAGGATTAAATAATGAAACACAAGAATCATTTGTTAGGTGCCATCAAATCAGTACCGACTCATAGCAACCCTATGAACAACAGAACAAAACACTGCCCGATCCTGGGTCAACCTCACAACTGTTGCCATGCTTGAGCCCATTGGTGCTGTCACTTTGCCAATATATCTCACTAGGAGTCTTCCTCTTTTTCTGTGTCAAACATGATATCCTTCTCCAGCGACTGGACCCTCCTGACAATATGTCTGAAGTATGAGAGATGAAGTTTGGCCATCCTAGCCTCCAAGGAGCACTCTGACTGCACTTCTTCCAACACAGATCTATTGGTTCTTTTGGCAGCCCATGGCACTTTCAATATTCTCCTCCAACACCACAACTCAAATGCATCAATTCTTCTATGGTCTTCCTTATTCACTGTCCAGCTTTCACATGCATATGAGGTTATTGAAAATACCATGGCTTGGGTCGGGCACACCATAGTCCTCAAGCTGACATCTTTGTTCTTCAATATTTTAAAAAGGTCTTGTGCAGCAGATTTGCCTAATACAATATGTCATTTGATTTCTTGACTGCTGCTTCCATGAGTGTTGATAGTTGAATAAAAAAAAAAAAAAAAATGAAGTCCTTGAGAACTTCAATCTTTTCTCCGTTGGTAAGAATGCTGTTTATTGGTCCAGTGAAACAGATTTTTGTTTTATTTACATTGAGATGTAATCCATACTGAAGGCTGTGCTCTTTAATTTTCATCAGTAAATATTTTAAGTCCTCTTCACTTTTGGCAATCAAGGTTTTATCATCAGCATATCACAGGTTGTTAATATAGGACATACATTTTTGTATTTGTGGTAAGATTCTCTCCCTATATAATGACATATATATTTCTTTTTCTTTCTCATAATCTTTTTCTGGTTGACTAGAAAGCCACCCACATGAGCTGCAAATCCTTACGTCCTTCAGGATTTTATTTTGGTGAAATACCCTGGATTCTTTTTTCACCTATAAATAAATGTTGTTTTTGTTAAGAGCAGTTTAGAGGGCTCAAACTCATAGTGACCGTGCATAGGATTCCCGAGGAGTAACTGGTGGGTTTGCACTGGAAACCTCATAGTTAGCAGGCTGATGTTAATCCTACAGTTCAACCCCAGATAAATAATGTTCTCAACAATGTTTATAGTTTTCCATTTTCTGTAACTATTGGTGGTTTTTGTTGCTGTTTTTTAGGTGAAGATGGAATCTTCTTTTAACTTAATAATTTCTGATATATCAAGCTTTCATATCATTAGTATTTATTCTTTTATGAATTTCATGGTCATACATTCTACCTACTATTCTATGTTATTATTTTCTTTTTAAAGATTTATAAAGTTCTATGTTTATACAAATAGTCAACTTTTTTTGTATCATACATTTGCAAATCTTTTCCAAGAATTTTCACATCTTTCATTCTTTATGTAGCTTATTGATATTGGATGCTTTCATGCTAAATTAACCTACATACCTCAGTTAAAAACATAAATTCATACATACTATGCACATATCCCTTTGATTCAAGTCTCTCATGGTTAGTCAGGATTAATATGATTCCTAGGGATTATAGAGTCCTGGAGTGACACTGTAGGATTAGCACTGGAATGCTAAGGAGAAGTAGTTAGTTCAAACCCACCTGCTGCTCCTTAGAAAACCAATACTGGATTCCCATGAGTAGGAACTGACTCAGCATTTATACTTGGTTTGTACTAGACTACTCCCAAGGTTTTCTGGGAGCAGAAAGCCTCATGTTTCTCCCTTGGAGTGACTGCTTACCTTGTGGTTACCGGTCCAGCTCATAATCCACCACACTACTAGAATTTCATAAAGAATAGAAACAAGAAAACACTTGGGGTCTCAGTTCTACCCTGTAATGCAACGAGCTTCATGAGTCAGAATTGATTTGCTGATAATGGATCTGTATTTCTCTTTCTTTTCTTTTTGGTTTAGTTAAGCTTAAAATATATATATATAAAGGAGCTCTGGTAGCGTAGTGGTTATGAGTTGGGCTGCTAAGCTCAAGGTCAGCAGTTTGAAACTACGAGACATTCCACTGAAGAAAGCTGAGGCTTTCTGCTCCTGTAAAGATTTACAGCCTCGCGCTATGAGTCGGAACCGACTCCAAAGCACATAACAACAGTATATATATATATATATATAATCTCCACACTCTGGTTGTAGAATTTATTTTAACCAACTTTTAGAAAAGACAAATACATCATTTATCAACATAATCCCCTTTCTTTTCAATACACTGTGTCCATCTTTCAACACGCTTTTATATTCCCTTATTAAAAAATGTTTTAGGCTGAGCTAAAAGCCACAGATGCACTACTGTATTCACTTCATCATCAGAATTGAAACTTCATTATTGAAAGAATACCTTCAGAGGACCAAATAGGTGAAAATCTGTTGGAACAAGGCAAGAATTATAGGGAGGATGCTTTAATATCTCAAAACAAAGTTTTTGCAGAGTGCCAACAGTGTGGGCAGAGGTGTGCAGATGTGCATTGCCATGCAAAATCACAACATCCTTGGGTAGAAGTCCTCTGTACTTAATGGGAAGTTTAGGCTTTAGGGCTTCAGTTAGCATTTCCCTATAATGAGCACTGATGGTTGTCGAATCTTCTTCCTGATAGTGTTCCAATACCGGCCCTTGAGAATCCCAGGAAACTGTAAGCATTAATAGCCCAGCTGATGATAGATTTTTGAGCTTTTACTTTATCAGTGATCGAGGATGTTTCCATTTCATGAGCTGCTGTTTACTCAGGCTCATAGTGATGAATCCAGGTGTCTTCATCAGGAACAAATTTTTAAAAGACATTTTACCTTCCTTTGTGTGTTGTTGTAGTTAAGTGCCATTGAGTCCGTTCTGACTCATAGCATCCCTTGATAGGGTTTCCGAGGAGCATCTGGTGAGTTTGAACCACAGACTTTGTGGTTCACAGTTCAGTTCTTATCCTACAGCACTGTAATCCTGTATTGGGTTTCTGAGGCTTGAAATCTTAGAGGAAGCAGAAAGCTTAACCTTTCTCTCGTCTGGCATACTTAACCATGAATCTTATTGTTTGTTGTCCTGTACTTATTATAAGGAGCCACTATGCTCCCAATATATTAAAAAGCCCACCAAACAGTGGGTTTGAACTGACAATCTTTTGGTTAGCTGTTACCCACCCCTGCTATCTAGGGTTTCTGAGGAGCAGTTGGTGGGTTTGAACTGCCAGCCTTGG